GAGACTTTTGAGAAGCTCATTGATAAACATGCTCTTAAAGTCTTTAAAATTTATGAGAGCATTTAAAGACTTAATTTTGCCAAGTGTGATTTATTATCTTTTTTATTTTAAGCCTCTAAAGCTTTTCTTTAATTTTTTTTTTCTTGTTTTACACTTTTTTTTTAAGTCTTGTTGAAGTGGCTTTAAAACTACAAAATAAATTCATTTAAATTATTTATTCTCTCTCATCTTTCCCAAGATTATTTAAAACTCTTTTTAGATTTATATATAGTTTATAAATCAAAATTGTCAATTGATTATTTTTTTTCTTATTATTTTGAGATCCATTTTTATATAAATCAATAAAATTATCAAAATTTTGCAAAATGAATGAAAAGAACAATTTTTCATTGGGGAAGAAAATATAATTTAAATATATTTTATTTTTAAGGTTTTAAGTGGTTGGATGAGGCTACATGTGTGTCACTTCAACAAGTGATCATTTTCAAAAACCAAAACCGGGATAACGAAGATATTCTTCATTATATCAACGATCGTTTTAAAGCTTATTTGAGTTGGAAACACCTAAAAAATCGTTTAGATAATTTGAAAATGCAACACTGCATTTATAAAATAGATTCAGAAGCTCGAGAGTTTTATCCAAATGTTTTTTAGTTTATTGCACTTCTTGAGCTTTTTGTTATTAAATCAAAACATGAAATAATAAAAATAAATAAGACTTCTTTAATTTTAGATATTTTATCAAATTTATGTCATAATTTATATTTTTCACAAAAAGTTATGTACAAATTATTATTAAAATAACAATCACAGTTTCTACAGCTTTCATTACCAAACAAACTTTGGTTAATATTTAAATTAACAGTGACAGTATTTAAATCCAAAATTTCTGTACCCAAAAGTCTACAGATAAAAACTTGAAAACAGTTACCAAAGCCCCCCCCCCCCCATTTTATCCCAACGGTTGATCTCTTTACTCTCTCATTTTATCCTCCACTAATATTCTGTTTTGTAATTTATTATATAACTTTTAACACAAACCCGGTGTAAAGTTTACTATCATTTTTATTTAAATCGATTAACCGTTAGACTTAAAAAATAAAACGATTCGGTTTGTATCTTCTGAAAAATAAACAACAAAAAACTAAACGGTGCGTCCCTACCCTACGTGCTTCCTTGCAGTTTCTGACGGTTAATCCATAAAAAGGTGCCACAACGTTACACAATTCAGTATATATATATAAATAAAAAGTAATGAGTAAAAGTGTAACATCGATCGCTTCAACAAATACACAATGAATCTTTCCTCCAACGATCAACTAGTCCAAGGCCATGGCAAAGCCAAGGGTTGGTCGACTGATCTGTGCGAATGTTGGATGGACATAAACTCATGTTGCTTGACTTGTTGGTGTCCATGTGTCGCCTTTGGACGCATCGCAGAGATTGTAGACAGAGGATCAACATCTTGTGGTATGAGCGGAGCCATGTACATGGTCATAATGATGCTAACTGGTTTCGCAGGGAGCAGTCTCTACTCTTGCTTTTACCGAACCAAACTCAGAGCACAACACAATCTCAAGGAGAGGCCTTGTTGTGATTGTTGTGTCCACTTTTGTTGCGAGCCATGTGCTCTTTGTCAAGAGTATAGGCAACTTCAACAAAATGGTGCTTTCGACTTGTCCATTGGTTGGCATGGGAATATGGAAAAACAGGCACGAGCCGCTGCGTCTGCGGTTCCTCCATCGCTTCAACCGCCAATGTCTAGATTAATGAATTAGATTGGTTTCGTTTATTTGTCTTTCTATAATAAACTATGCTGTGACATCATTTGTACTCCTTTATTCACACATATTATGTTGCTTTTTTGTTTTGTCAGAATGATGTAGCTTCTTTATTATTCTTGTCTATAAAATGTCCTAAGGGAAAAATGAGCCAATCTCAGAATTTTTTTTTCTGTAAAATGAATATTTACAGCGGAAGAACATAGCATTGATACCAAAATAGCCCTATCTATTGGGGACATCACTTATGTATGAAATTGTTCAAAATTTGGATAAATGTAAATCCAGTTATTACATTTTAGTATTTTGAGATTTCTCCCAAAAGATAATAATTTGAAAGTGCATTGATTGCTACCACACTGTAAAATAGTAAAAAAAAAACTTAGTTTTGAGTCTGGGTAAATCTTATGTGGAGTGGAGCAGACAAAAAGTAAAGTGTATAGTAGAATAATTATGTTTGAGACCTTATTATATGTGCCACAAAATCAAAACTTCCCAAACATGAAATTGGGTTTTGTCCCACTTTTGTCAACACTATCATGCTCTTATTATACATTATATATCCCACCCAAGCTTCCTCTTACTCGCTCATTCTTTGATTTGGCTAACGCAGACGTCACCAATCAACTTTCACTACGCATACTTCAATCAACTTTTCATCATTATTTTGACAAATAACAGTTGAGTTTCTCCGGCTATAGCAAAGTCTGGAACCAAGATAAGATCAACCATTGGTTGATTGAAGAGGAAAGAGATTTGGTACCAAAAATATACCTTGCACAAGCACAGGAGAATGATCGTATCATTTGGAATCATGACAAGACAGGTGAGTACACTGTTAAAAGTGGTTATTGTACGACTTCAAGCTTCTGAAAATGCAGAGCATTTGAAACCTCAAAAAAAAACAGAGGATTCTGATATGATAAAATCCAAAAACACGTTTGTGTCTGATGGACCGAAGAAGGAAGCAATATTTGTGAGGTCCAAAGACGAATTCAAACTTTTACAAAACGTCAAAACTCAACGGTCTTCTTTCTCAAAAGATAAAGACAGAGAACGAAGCAGAGGAGGTGGATCAAAACCAGCTGGCTATACGGCCGGTCAAATAAAGGTCTTCAATAGATATGTCTCTCTATCAAGATCAGAAGATGAGGGATCTGATGTCCGACACTTGTCAGAGGCTCCTACTAGTGTAACCCTAGATTGAGTCTTGTGTATAAAAAGGGGATAAGTGTGATTGTAAAAAGAAAGGAAAAAATGAATCAATAAAAGAGATTTTCTTCTTCATAAAGCTTATACTTTTCTGCTTTCAGTTATTGGTTGAGTTTTCAGGAACATTTAGCAAACAATCCGGACGTCATT